GACCATCGCTCCTGTGCACGGTGCAGTGTTACGTGGCAGCTTCAGGTGGTTGGTGTAAGGCCAGTGATTAGTACTTTTGCAGCAGAATGTTCTGAACTGGGCATTAAGTCCACCGGACACACATACAATGGGGTCTCCTGGAAAGGACGCATCACCCCATTTTTCCAGGGAAAATCATCCCACTCCCAAACAGTGAATGCTGCGGGAGCTTCTTAGCAGAGCCGGGTGCTCCACGAAGATCACATAATGAGGAGACGCTGCAGCAGGTTAATTAGCCAGCGCCGTGTGAACTCCTGCTGATGCTGCGATGACCAAGCGACATGACGCTATGGGCGTATTTATAGACCTCATGAAAAAGTGAAGATTAGTATTAAAAAATTACCCTCAAGCACAAATAGTTTAAATTTTGCATTAAGCCACGGTGCCTTTTGAGATCATTTTATAGTGTCTGATTATTCAACCTCAGCATCAGATATGCAAAAACATTGACAAAAATAGATATAAATTAGCATCTGTTGCAGTGTTCAATATTTTAACTACATGTTGTTGTTTTTTGACCCTCATTCCAACCCCAACCAGACTTGATTCTGACAACCTAGAGAATAGGCTGATACCTTCACAAAGCAGATGATGCATTGTTCTCTCCCAGAGCTGCCAATGAGTTCAAACCACCGACCTTGGGGTTAGCAGCCAAGCACTTTCACCACTGTGCCACCAAAGAGTCTTTTGATTTTCATAGTATTCTTGACTTTCCATTTTATAAATGAGGTTTTAAAAAAAAAAAAGAGGTTCAGAGATGTTTTAGTAATTTATTCGAGGCTCGTGGTTGACAGAAGGGCCGGAATTTACTCTTAGGGCGGCCCGTCTTGCTTTGCCTGAGATGGTCCCCGTTACATCCCTGGAAGTCTTGAGTCTAGGAAACTCCCCAGACCCAGGCAGCCTGGAATGCTGATCACCCACAGTCTGGTAGACCTGGTGTCCTCTCTGTTTTACACTTGACCCCTCGCTGGCAGGATCTTAACACAATGGGTGATGGAAGACATGTCTTTGTAGGCAGTTATAGCTCTGATAGCACCGTGCCTGAGAGCTGAGCCTAATAAGCATTGAAGAGAGCGTCCCGCTGACACAGAGTCAGGGAGAAGACCGTCCTGTCCTCACCTTGCTGAGCTAAGACCCAATTTCACCCTATCACCTGGCTTAGTCAGATGTGAGCAAGGAAAAGTAATTAAGTATTTTATCTTTATTTTAACCTAGTCCTCAAACCCCAGCAGAATTTTTTTTTAAAAAAATGAATGGTATAGAGCTCCTGCTTGGCTTCACTTTCCTTTTAACTGGCTCCACTAACATTTATTTATTCAAAGGTTAAAAACATTTCAGACCAAAAAAGTTAGGCTTTTCAAAGATGTCAGCAGTGGTTCCTCTGAGGACCTGTGGGCACAGCCCTCTCTGCATGGCCTGTGCAGTTTCTCCTAGAAGGCTTCTCTTGGGTTTGAAAGCTCACAATTGAGCTTTTCACCCTGAATCTAGCCACCTGGTGATGGCCCACTGAAAGCTCTGGTTTCTGTAAGCCAGCATCACCTGCTGTGTCTGGCCAGGTACAGAATGTCAGGACAACAGGTTATCGAATTATTTGCCAAGTGTAGGGAGCAGTGAGTGTTGAACATCCTGTATACAGATGAGGATGTTTATATTAATTTTTTAATTTTGTGTTTGTATACATAATTTATATACATTGTGTTTCATTCATGTACATTGTGTTTCATGCCTTTCATGTTCACATTGTGTTTCATATAATCATTTCTATACATTGTGTTTTATGAAATTAATCACTATTGATCTATGCCCACTATTACCAAGTGCTTTAGATTCCCGGTGGATCTGTGCCAATTCCTTCACCCTCTCCCTGTGCCCACCAAACTCTGGTTCCCTAGTGATTACATACAAACACACATACTCTCACACAATTCTCTTTCTCTCTCCTCCCCTGCTCCCCCCACCCCCACTTTGGACTTATTTACCAGGTAATTTCTTCTAAGGAGATGTCAGTGACATCACTGATTTGCATGTTAGGAAATTGAAAAAGTGGGTTTTACCTGGCCTGTTCAATTACTCAGAAGTGAGCTTTTTTTAAAAAAAAATTTTTTTAATTGTGATTTTAATGAAAATTTACAGAAAAGTTAGGTTTTTATTCATTCATTGTTGCTTATTTTCCTCCTTCTCCCCACCCCCTGCACACTCTGTAATGCACCTCCTACTCTGAACTGCTGTCATACAGATAATGCCAAATAATATATTCCTTTTAAATAGTTCTTTCCTTCATCTGTTCCAGTGCAGTGTTCATTATCCCCTCTTTTCCTGGTTTCCCCCAAGCCCCCATGTCAGTCCAGTTTTATAACAGTGGTGATGTGCAGTATTTGTCCTTTTGTGACTGAGATATTTTACTCAGCGTAATGTCCTCCAGGACATCATATTGTGTGATGTTTTGCAAGGTACTTGTTTTTCAGTGCTGTGGGGCATACCATTGTATGAATGTGACAGAGAAGTGAGCTTTTGAAGCCAAGGTCCTATAGGAACTTGAGAATGATTTACCTGTTAGGGAGGATTATTAAGAGTAGGGCAATCGATCATCTTCTCAAAGACACTGTCTGCCCAGTCAGGTCATCAGATCAGAAAACCACATCTCTTCTTGTTGATTCCCACTCACAGCGACCTTAGAGGACAGAGTGGACCTGCCCCTCAGGGCTTCCGAAGTTACCTGTAACGCAGTAGGGAGGCAGTTTGCCGCGTCGTACTCTTCAGCTGGTGGGTTTGAATGACTGACATTTGGTTAGTGGCCACATTTTAACCAGTGCATTACCAGAGCTCCCCGTTCCCTCGCCCACGCTCATGTGTCTTGCCCTTCTTTTGATGAGAGATGGGCTCCACCTCTCTTGGCTGTCTTCCTTGTTTGCAGTTCGTTTGTGACAAAGCAGATCAGAACCGGGACAAACTGACCAGCGTTCGTTGGTTCTTTTTGATCTGTCATGATACCTCATTTCCCATCAGGTGGAATTTGAAGATGGATCCCAGCTGGGGATGAAGAGAGAAGACATCTACACCCTAGATGAAGAGCTGCCCAAGAGAGTGAAGGCTCGCTTGGTAAGTCTGGCCAAGGGCCCCAGCACCCTCGAGTGAAGGCCTCACCTCTCCCCTGTGCTTCTCTGTCTGTCTGCAGACGTCCTGGACCTTGAGACAATAATTTATTACAAAGCGGTCTGAGGACAGCCAGATGTGAGACTTCTGTCACATTTTCCACCTTTCACAGGGTGAACTTCTGGTATTTTGCTGTCATTTGTGTTAGTAAAAAAATGTGAAAATTTCTTCCTCTGACAGATTTGTGCCTTATACATGTTTGACCTTTCATGGAATTTTCTGTGAGGCTTTTACCAGTCGTAGGAAGGGACACCATCCAAAGGGCCCTCAGGACGAGATTAGAGGGTGGCATGATTGGAGGCCCCTTTTCCACGCTTGTGTCATGTGTTGATTTCCTGCTCCCTCAGAAACTCGCTGTTTCAGTTATGAGTTAAGCTAAGCTCTCATTTTTGTAACAAAAGAGGAAACAAAGGCCAAATCATCATACGGGAATAATAAGATGATCTCTGCTGCGCGGATACGAGCCTCTGGTACGCGGTTTTATTGTTGGTGGCCAGTGGGTTTGCACCAGCTCACGGCCGTCTTATGTCTAATAGAATCAGTGACACATCACTCTGTCCTGTGTCACCTTCATAAGGATTGGTCCATTGTTGGACTGCTCAAGTCCCAGGCAGGCCATTAAAAGATAAATAAGCATGGTCAGATAATCAAAGCAGAGATGGCTGGAAACGAGAATTCACAGTAACTCGGGTTCTATATTATTGTATCGTAAATACTTAGTGGGCCCTGAAATGAAGTCAGTTTATTACTTGGACTGCATCGGGGATGAGTGGTGGCTGTGGTTAGATGACACTGAGGGGCTTCTGACTCCTAAGGCCGCTGTGAGAACAGAAGGGACCCCACACCGTCGGCCCGATTGATCTGCTCTTCACTCCATTGGTGCAGCCAGTGTCTCAAACAGGGACGTTGGAATGAAAGAGGGTTTTTTTTTTAAATCAAGAATTCCATTTGTCATAATAAATGGCATTCCTAGCTTTGAGTGCCTGCTTGTCTTATTGCTGCAGCGATAAGAGTTTTCATCACTGGAAGAGCCAGCATGCTGGGAAGGGCCAGCCGAAGAGAGTGCAGCGGTCGCCCAGCTGGATTGGCTCTGTGGCTGCAGCCCTGGGCTCCAGCGTGGCAGAGCCAGGGGACGGCGCAGGGTGTGGCAGGCTCCGGACTGTTGTTCATAAGGTCTCTATCAATCATATTTGACCTCAGGACATCTTAACAGCAGGGCTATCATGTGATACATGAAAAACCCCCAGAACTGACAATCCATGTATTCCCTCCGTCATCCACTTGTTAGTGCCTTTCCTAGCAGGTGTGATCTTAAGAGCAGCTCGCTGTGTCAGGTGTGAACTGAACGGATTGTCCTTTATACCCATGACCTTCAGATGAAGGTCTTTCAAAGTGGGAGTCCAGAGAAAGACGCTGGAAGAGTGCTGCTCCCTCCCTGTCAGAGAAGCACTGTGTAGGAAACCCACCCACCTGAAGTTGGATTAACCACCAACCATAACCACAGAGAACGAGGAGATCAGACATTTCTGTTGTCAAGACGTGAGCTAGACCTGGCAGATCTGGAACTCAGCGTTCTCTGATGTAGAAAGCTCTTGAACGCAGGTTTCCTTTCTAAGATGGTGAGACAATCGCTTCCCTCTGCCCTCCCTTCCTGTTTAGAGGATGGAACTGGAGCAGGCAGCCCCCTGGAAGTTTCTCAGGTCTTTGATTTTCCTATCCTAAATTAGCATCCCAGCCGCTGTGTCTTGTAGGGTTCACACACCACTTTCTGATCCCTCAGAAGTCAGCTCCTCCCCACCCTGCTCTGACCGCTGTCTCTGCTCACTGTAGGTTCAGCTCAGCTGCCTAGATGACCTCGCCGGCGGCTTGATCAGAACACAGTACTACATCTACTAAGCAACACATTCAACTTAGTTTTAATTCTTGGGAGAAAAATTTTAACACAAAGACAATAGAAATCTATAAACCACCTATACACGCTCTGAATGCAATGCGTGACACCGTACATCTGAATCTGGTGGGAGGTCCTTTCAGGAACCAGGGCTCACCATCCCACTGACTACTTGAGTTCTTCCAGAGTCAGACTTCTTCCCCACGTAGCAAACCTGCCATGTCTTCAGGTTGGTCCAGAACCTTCCAGCTCTCGCTTAGCGTGTCTGTGGTGCCTTTTTTTTTTCAGTCAGTACAACAAAACTCATTGGAAAATTCATTGATGGGAGATGTTTTGATTAGGGAGTCTGTTTTTCTTTTGGGACTTTTTAGGGAGTAGGTAGCGTCCCTCAGTGGAAGGCCTCTGTTTTAATGACTTCTGCTTATCTGACACTAGCTGACTTGGAGAGAAGGTTTCCGGAAGAGTCAGCAGTCCACCTCAGCGATTGTGCTGGGTCCTCTCCGTGAACTTCAGAAGTGGCCCCATTACCTTTTATTGTCTCCTGGCGTCACCATAGCAACGGTGCATAATTAGCGCCTGTGGAAGTGGCTTTGTCTCTGCCTGAGGGGCGGGCGCTTCTTGCACTGGGCAGCTCTGAGGCAGCCTCCTCTCTGGTAACTTCAGCACTAGAGGCAGTCGGAGCTCGTTCAGAGGAGGCCGAGACGCACACAGTGATGTCCTCTCCAAATTTCTCTCCCTCCGGGGGGAGCAGGCCCACTTGCCCTTCTGAGTGTTCTGGAGTGTTCTTCCTGAGTGAACCTTGTTCAACCAGCCAGGATAACCGTCCCTGGCCGAGAACCAGCTGAACTGGCCAAGAACACCTGTTCGTATCCAGGCCCCTCTGCAACTGTGATTGTTCTTCTCTTCTTCCCCTTTGGTAGAATGTGTTTTCAAGCCCTAAATGCTGACTCTGCCTCAGTCGTCACCTAGGGAGGTGGCCTTGGTGACCGAACAGATGCCCTGGCAGGCGGCTTGTTGGAAGCAGGGCAGTACAGGCGGTCAGTCGGAGGGGACATTAGGGCTCGGCGTTGTTCACTGTTAGAACTGCTCTTTCAGAACCATGAAGCCAGACGTGCCGGTTTGAGTAGGTCTGAACCTCCGAATAGGTTTGAACTACCAGCTTTTTAATTGGTAGCTGGACACTTTACCACTTACACTACTCAGACTCTTCTAACAGAACATTATGGGGCTTCCCTGCAGACTTTAAGGAGCCCTGGTGGTGCAGCATTTAAGTTTCTCATTGCTAACTGCAAGGTTAGTGCTTCAAACCGCCCAGGGGTTCCAGGGAAAAGGAAGTGGTGACCCGACGCCCCAAAGATTAGTGCCCCAGGCCGATAGGCGCTGTGCTCCAGCATGAGGCGTCATTATGAGTTGAGCTCTCGCCAGCAGCAGTGTAGACTGTGAGGAGTGCTAGGTGGGTGAGTTGGAGCTGCAGCGAGGTAGACGCCTCCTGCCCTACGCAGTGTGGGGCACCTTCCTCCACTGGCACGCCCTCTGGTGGCGGCAGCCACCCTCAGGAACCTTGATGTGGGAAAGCCTCCCCGTCTTCACAGTCCTGATAGTGGTGTGCTGAAGTGCAGGGCTGTAGGAAGCCAGCAGAAAGCCCCTCGTTTGGCCTGTGGCAGAGAGACAGTGGAGCAGCTCCTGTAGAGGAAGCAGCATGTCCAAAGACGGGCGGCGGAGGCCCTGAGCCAGCAGAGTGTGGGTGGGCCTCCAAATAATTGGGTGACTGACCACAGTACATGTAGGTGCCAGTCTGAGGGAGACAAGGCAGGGATTATGGGGGTGACTCGATGGGCACGCGGTTAACATGCTTGGTGGCTAACCAGATGTTGGTGGTCGAAGTCCACTAGAGGCCCCTCAGAAAGCACACCTGGGAATCTGCTTCTGCAAGATCACCCAAACCCCCAAACCAAAACCATTACTCTTGGGTCAGTTCCAGCTCATAGTAACCGAGTAGGGTTTCCAAGCCTGCAGATCTGAAGGGCCATCCCAAGGAGCTCGGGGCGTCCAGAAGGTGGTCAGGAATGTCTGAGGGGTCAGATAGTTCGAGGGGAACTTTCCCTGATGGTTCTCTATGAAGGGTCAGCCGAAGGAGCTCGGGGCATCCAGAAGGTGGTCAGGAATGTCCGAGGGGTCAGACAGTTCGAGGGGAGCTTTCCCTGGTGGTTCTCTATGAAGGGCCATCCCAAGGAGCTCAGGGCGTCCAGAAGGTAGCAAGGAGAGTCCTCTGTCAGACAGTTTTAGGGTTTAGGGATAAGGAAGAAAGGATGGAGCTTGGAGGTACATGTAGGGGAAGCCTGGACAAATGGGGGTGTGGGGAACATGCGCCCTGATTGTGGGCTTCTGACTAGTGTCCGTGCGTGCCATTTGGGGGTGTGTTGTAGGTGCTGCCTAGGTGGTTTTGACTCCTAGCGGCAACAGAATGGGCCCTGCCTGGCACCACCCTCATGAATTTGATGCTACTGTTGCAACCAACGGCAGTGTAGACCTTAGGGAGTCTCTCACTGAGCGTCTTGTGACCCCATGCTTCACCCGGCGGGTTGTCTTTCTCCAGGCCAGTCCCTCCTGCTAACACATCCAAAGTATGGGAGATGAAGTCTCCTGTTCCCGGCATCTAAGGAGCATCTAGTTGAGACAAGCTTGCTTGTTCCGTCTTTCAGTTGTAAGGGGAAGCTGTGGAAAGGAGAGTGATGAGGGAGGCTCTTGAATGCAGTTTAAGCCAGGTGGACGTGTATGTGGGGCAGACTGGCTCAGACAGGCTTGGGGACAGGAAGGGAGCTTCGGGAACAGAGGTGGGAACATCTTGGACCGGATGCAGGACTGAAGCCCTTCAAGTGGATGGGAGTCTCCTGGGGTCCGATGAGTAGACGGGAGGGACAGATGCAAATCAGAGAGTTAGAGGAACAAACAATTCACAGCGATCAGAATTGAGCAACAGAGGAAGTGTTTCAATCCACTGTGATCAGAATTGAGCAACAGAGGAAGTGTTTCAGACAGTGGTCCGATAAGGTGTCAGATGACATCAGGGTGTCCTAGGAACAGCACTCATCCCCTAGACAAGAGATCTATTTCCAAGGAGAGGCTGAGGCAGTGGCCCGTAACTATGAATGGGGGTGAATGCGAGGCCACTGTGGATGAATCTGGGTGAGAGCCTGGCAGAGAGGAAGGTGAGGGCCCTGAAATGTAAAGTTTGTAAGATTGTAGACCCAGCTTTGGTTTTGGGGTCTATCCAGAGGTGAAGTGTGAGGTTCTGGAGAAAGAGGGGTTGAAGGAGCCACATGGCCATGGTGAGGGAGGGTCCAGAGCATCGGGTGAGCCCTGCCCCTGCCTGGCTTGCTGCACGCCCATGTCCTCACGTGGCAGGCTCCAGTGTTCCCTTCTTCCCCGTGTAACCCTGCTCTCTTCAGTCCACAGCCTCTGACATGCGATTCGAGGACACGTTTTACGGCACGGACGTTATCCAAGGGGAGAAGAAGAGGCAGAGAGTGCTGAGCTCCCGGTTCAAGAACGAGTACGTGGACGACCCCGTGTACCGCACGTTTCTGAAGAGCTCTTTCCAGAAGAGGTGTCAGAAGAGACAGTAGTCCCGGGGCAGCTGCAGAGTGGAGCAGCTCGTTGCAAAGGGGGGTGGTGCCTGCGGGCCAGGCGGGGTGGGTGACTGAGGGTGCGCCCTGCTTCCAGGTCCCAAAGCCCCTCACACTCAGCACCACAGTATTGATTGGATCCAAACAAACAATCCCAAGCCATCCTCTGGCGAGCTTGCCCTAATGCCCAGCTCTCTTTTCTGAGCCCAAAGACTTTTTGTAAGTGAAGGGAAATCACCCACCAGAAAATGAAAGCCACTGCCAGAGAAGAGAGGCACCCTTGTAGCTTAGGGCCCCGGTCAGGAAACACAGGGGGGGCTTCGCCCCTTCCTTCTAGTCACCTCGGGGGGGGGGGAGGTGGTCCTTTATATTTTTCCACAATCAGGGACAGGTTCTCCCTTGTTTAAAAATAAAATTAAAAAAAATTTTTTATAAAATAACAATTTTTATATCATGTTTTTAAACCTCGGATGGCACATCGGGCAATGAGATTTTCCGTGAGCGGTCTAGATTTGCCGTGTACAGACCTTTTACATTTTTTTACATTCCAATCCCTTTGATTGTAGCTGCCAGGAACTGAGTTGCTGGATTCTGTGAAATGCACACCTCCTCAGTGAGGGTTCGGGTAAACTGTACTGGGATTTTATATATTTAAAGCGGGAGATGCAGGACTGTTATTTTTAAACACTTTTCTTTTCATAATGCATATTCTGAGTAGATATTTATAAAATCTATGTTTCTCTCATTATGTGTTTGTAAAATTAGAGTTTACATATATAATATCTGATGGCTAGTTTTGAACTAATATAATATAATGCCCCGTCCCCCTTTTTACAGCCGCCTGTAAATGTACTAGTGTTTAAAAATAAAGCTTTCCATTTTCTGCAGTCATGCTGCTCTTTGTCCGGTTCAACCGCAGGTGCACCAGCATTGCTGGGGAGTTGCTGTCACCACAGGCTGTTGCTGTGAGGTGCCAGCTGGTTGGTTCTCACCTTTTGGGGTCACCCCTGTGGGACAGCGTAGAACTGTCCCCTAGAATTTTCTAGACTACCCAGTGTTTCTCTCATAGAGCCACTGGGTGGGTTTGTGTCTCTTTTAAGTCAGATTCTAAGTCACTGCTGTCGAGTTGATTTGGAGTCGTAGTGACTCCGAGGGAGACTCCCCGTCAAGTGGAAATCTTAGAGGGAGCTGATTGATGCCTCTTTGTGTAGCGGGTGACTTGGAATCACCCACCTTTCTGTTCGCATCCTCAGACCTAAGCCACTCTTCCACCAGAACCTCATCAGTAGACTGACTCGTGTGGACTCAGCAGCACCTCCTTGCTGCCCCGGGGGTTTTGGAGGCTCTGAATTGCAGAGACGACTCATCTTTCTCCCACAGAGCCATGGCTGGATTCAAACTTCCAGAGTGGTGCCACCTTTGTGTCAGCCTTGCGTACCTATAGACGACGCCACCAGAGGCCCCTCAAGACTGACTGGTGCCTTTGCTTTTAGCCACTCCCCCTGTCGCTGCATAGCTGTGCTCCTGTCCCTGGACGTCTGTGGCAGCATCCAGATCAGTCTGCCCGCTTCAGGGCCCCTTTGGGGGCTTTCCTCGGCCCTCCTCCGAGGCCGTGCGTAAATCCATGACTCTGGGTTCTGGAGCACTTCACACCGGCCTCTGGTAGTTGCCGTGGACGTGGTGCTGACTCATAGTAACCTGATGTGTTGTATTGTGTTGTTGTTAAATGTTGCCAGGTCAAGTCCACTATATAGTGGGACAAAGCTGATGCCTGATCCCAAGCTGTCTCCCTGACCGGTGGAGCGTCCGAGTCTCTCATGGAAGGTTCTCGTTTTTGCCCCCTTTCTAATTTGCCAAGCTTGATGCCCTTTTTAGGTCCCAGTTACCATTTGAAGGGACCACAGAGTCCTCCAGTCTTTCAGGACAGGCAGAGGCCCTGACCCCCAGTCATCTGTGCCCAGTGACACTCACTCCGTGATGAACGATTGCCTGTAACTGGGATCCCCACTGGCCCGGGCTGTGCCGACTGGGCTGGGCCGGCTCACGCATGTGCTCTGCGTGCCCCCTGCCCTTGCTCTGGCCAGTGGACTAGCCCAGTGTGTGCTTCTGTGAATAGCAGAGGCCCAGCAGCAAACATGCCCAGCTTCACACACATGCACAAATGTGTCCCGAGGGTCATGAATCCCAGCTTCAGGGAGCTTGTCAACCCCAGGGTCAGGTCGCACTTGTGGGTGTACCATCCTGTTCCTGAGAAGGACAGCACGAAGCAGGAGTGACAGCGCCATAGCTAAGCCCCCAGCTTGGGCTTGTGAGTGCCCCATCGTCACGCTCTGTGAGGGGAGGAGCCACCAGAGCCACCACCTTCCTTACGGGGCACGAGCCTGGCACCCGCCACCTCTGTCCCCACAGCTGACTGAACTGACTCGCTCCATCCACACGAGTCCAGGAAAGTAGGCCTGACGGCAGCATTGTTGAGAACCGCTGACTTGTAACTGACCTGTCACTGGTCCTCCAGTGGGTTTTCAGAGGCATGAGAGGAGACCGCCCGTCCTCCTGCTGACCAGCTGCTGGATTTGAACTGTGGGCCTTTGGGTTGGGAGCACAGTTCCTTACCACTAAGGTCCCAGCACTCCCTGCATGCAGTATTAAGAGGACTCACTCTAAACAGGATCCTCCGTTCTGCCCGAGAGCCCATGTCAGCTCGATTTCCGCCGTGTGATGGCCCGCACAGCTGTTTTCCATGGTCTCTTGACCGACGTGTCTGTGAGCTTGTGTGGCTGCCCATGGCTTTGACCATCAGTGCTGGCCACAGATACACTCCGGCTGTTGAGAAGCGGTCTTTGTCTCACCAGGTTCTGCATAAAGGGGTTGGGTTATTTGTTTAACCAGACACAATACTGACGCTTTCTCACTTGCCCCACGACACCTGGCTTGCTATTTTAATATCTTTGCATTGCATTAATTGCTGCTATAGTGTGGACGGGACTACCATAAAATCCATTTCTGTCCTTTAGTATTTAAAAAGGAAAAGAAAATATTGTTTAGCTCTGACAGTTCTAATGTGATTCTAATTGCAAACCTTTTTCTTCGGACGATAGAGGCTTAGTAAGAGCTGCTCGGCACGTTTCACGTTTTCATTTTTTCATGGGAGTTTTGCAGCGAGGGACATATCATCCTTGTGGATCTAAATCCCTCCCACTTCTTCTTGAGAGAAATTTGAGGCACAGCCTTGAATCTCCCACGACTTCTGAAAGCATAAAAAGTGTGATTGGGCTGGGGTGTGTGCCACGGATGAGATGCTGTGAGTTCCTGGATCATGTGAGCTGTGAACACACTTGGCTGCTCGCTCCAAAGGTGGGAGGTTTGAGTCCATCCAGAAACGCCCTGAAAGGATGGTCAGGCAGCCCAGTCACGTAACACTGTGGAGCACAGTTCACTGTGACTCACGGCGGGTGCTGGGAGCCGGAGGGCCTGCCGCCTGTCCCCATGCCTGTCAGGTGCGGACCCAACCCTCAGTTTGCGTGTTACCCCCGGATCTTCTGAGGAATCGCGTCCATGCTATCTGCTTCAGGACAAGCCTGTCTTTATATCTGCCTTTCCGCAGGAGATATCGGAATGTAACAATACTCATTTCAGATAGAAAGCAGCCCATAAACGCCGGGCTAACCAGAGATCCAGCGGCATTCGCATTACATGGAGTACTGTGCCATGAGCCCTTCTGAGAATCCCCCCGTCAGTCATCAGAATGGTTCTCATTCTCTCCCACCCTCGGGTGTTGAGGAGACAAAGAGCACCCACCTATCTGTGAATGATTTCTCACCTCTCGGGGTGCCCGAGAGATTCTGGGATTCTCGGTAAGTGGGAGGCAACTTGGAAACTCACAGCTCTGTCCTCAGGAGGGGCTGTCATGAGGAAAAGGACTGCTGAGCACAGCTCGTATTGATGACGATAACCGTGCACAGAGAAGCCACGGTGCCCACCTCGTCAGGCAGGCTCCACGTCAGGTGCCACCGTGTCAACCAGCACACATAGCAGCCCTAGGAACAAGACTGAAGCCTTGCTCTGTCCGGCACCACCCTCATGCCTCACCAGACGCAAGTCCATTTTGGTCGTCAGATATTCATTCGTCTCCTGTAAGATCTTCCTCTCTTGATAACTCTGCTTTTCCCAGCGTTAAATGTTTTCCCAAGGACTAGCACCTCATGGGCCCCGAGAGGTGAGAAATCGTTCCCGAGTAGGTGGGTGCTCCATGTCTCCTTCGTACCTGAGGGTGGGAGAGAATGAGAACCATTCCGATGACTAACGGGTGATTCTCAGAAGAGCTCATAGCAAAATACTCCACGTAATGAGAATGCCACTGGATCTCTGGTTAGCCTGGCATTTAGGACAGCCTTAAGTATTGTTGTTGTTATGTGCCGTTGAGTCGTTTGCGACTCATAGCGACCCTATGTACAACAGCCCTAAACCCTGCTCTATCCTGTGCCAATCTCATTGCCTCTGACACACCCATCCCGATTACCCCAGTCACTGAATCAATCCACCTCATAGAGGGTCTTCCCCTCCTGTGCTGTCCCTCCACTCTACCCAGCATGATGTCCCTCTCTAAAGATCTGTCTCTCCTTACAACATGTCCAAAGTATTAGTGAGATGAAATTTCACCATCCCTGCCTCTAAGGAACGTCTTGGTAACACTTCCTCCAAGACACATTTGTTTGTTCTTCTGTCTGCCTGTGGTATAGTCCACCCTCTGCCAACACCGGGATTCAGAGGCATCACTTTTTTTATCACTTTAAAAAAATTTTTTCTACTAGTTTGTTTACAAAATTTAAATACAAATTTGAACAAGTTCTTTCAATTTCCCTCACCCACCCATCAAATTGTACAACCCTATGATTAATCCCCTCGTCCCTGCACGTCCTCATCCCTCAGCTTCTAGCAGAGGCATCCGTTTTTTTTGGATCATTGTTCCAACTTTCACGTGTGTATGAAGCAACTCTGAA